TTTTGCGATCATCTCCAAAATAATAGGCTTCTATTCTGACCCTAATCACATCTCCATTTTCAATTTCGTGAGGACCGGACCATAATTGCGACCTGTATCGTGATTCCAAATTAACATGGACAGATGGACGGACGGACATACATAACTGGATCGACTCAGCTCGGCGAGATATAGTTTCCTATGTCATGGATCAATATTTCGAGGCGTTACATAATTTTTGGCCTGATCAAACTTGTAATACTCCGAACACATACCATTGCAATTGTGCAATTGTAATAAACAAATCTGATTTGACAAATAATGTTTTGATACAACTGATGGATTGCAAAACTTGTACTCAGCTGAACTAAGTGGAGTTCTTTCTATTTCATATACTTATTTTCCCTTAAATATAATACACATAGAGTATTCAACACATATAGACCATTATCCTTGAAGATCGTTGAAAAATATGTGGGTACAACATTTGCTAAATGTGTACAAAAAATTCCACTGCTTCATTACATTTCCATCCCTGCCATTGACACGACTTGTGGTGTTAAGTATCTTGTAGTAAACCATTAAGACTACAGCAACAACAACAGCTAATATACGCACATTTCATGGATTGCGAGCGCACAAATGTCCGTACATATGCTATGTTTGTATCTATGTTCAATTGCACGTCACATCCGATTCTTTGGTGGGCTGTGAGTGAGTCTTTGTTTGGTGTTTTCTTTTCGTCTTTTTCTTTTTTGAAAAGAGTAGTGGCAGCACTCCGTTGCAGCACGTAGTTGTTAGTAGAGTTTTGCATTTGTCCAAAACTGAGAGAGTGAGGGGGCAGAGAATAAACCACGTCTCGTCTCATTCAACAACAGATATTGGATACGAACGGTTCGAAAATACGGCAACTTGTAAATTTTTTAAAATTAAACTATAAAGGAGAGAGAGAGAAACCAAAAAAAAAAAAATAAAAACAAAATTTTATATCTGTTCTCCCATATTAACGGAATTTTCAATGCCTCAGCCATTATTCCAGTTACGTTTTTGCCGCCAGTGCATAACGCGAATATTGGCCATTCAACAATTGTTATCGCCTTTGTTTTGAAGATACAGTGTAACGGTCATAAACATTTTGCCTTATCTCCGAGAAACTTGTGAACCAAAGAGAAATTTAGAGAGGAAGTGAAATTTTGATAGTGGGTGAAAGAGAGCGAGAGCAAATACATGATAAACAGAGAAAAAAACAGATAAAAAGAACAGATTGCAAAACATTCTACTGCCGTCCGCTGCTATAAAAAGAAAACCCTCTGCCGACAGGCAAACCATACCCCAGAGAGCGAGCTAATGAATCGTAGCGTGTAGAGAGCAACTTCTACTTGAAATACTCCAGCCAAACAAATACCCAACTACTACTGCCTTCCACTACCTGTGATTTTGAAGTTCAAACAATTGACTAGTTGCGTGTTGGCATTCAGTAAAACAAGACTGATCCAAAACTGGCTACGGAATTTTGAAAAAAAAGAAACAAATTCAAAAATAAAATAAAGCAACAAAATTCCTAAAAATAAAAACATATCTCATGAATATCCTACAAAAATAACAAAGTATTATTCCTATAACTGTGATATTAGAATTAAATAACCAAACTGAAATATATTTAAGTGTCCTTTCAAACAAAAACCAAAATAGTTAAATAAAAACAACAACAACCATGATTACTTCAACCACATCAACAACGGATTATAACAAATTTTTCAAACGTCCTGCCCTGCCCTCAAATGCGGAACAGTATTTACGTGAACAACTTGAAATTGGGTAATTATTTCTATTTTTTGTTAAACGTCTTTTCCGTTTTTTTTTTTTTTTAACAGAAAGTATTAAATAACTTGTGAAACTAAAAGAAGAAACATTGCTTCAATTTCTTCGTCATTATTTTGCATTCGTTCGTCGCTGCGGGGCCTTCAATTGGTGTTTTGGTTTATTTTGATTTTCTATTTTTGTTTTCGAGTTTTTGTTATGCTTTCGTCACAACACCTATGTGAAAATTAATATTGAGATCATGGTTTGGTTTGCATAGCACAGAAATAGATACTGCAAACATTTAGACCACCGGTCTTTCCTATACGTCAAATTTTTTGACGACGATAAGTGTCATAAAATTGCTGTTAGGGCGGCATGGCATGAATTGTGTCAACCGCCATCAGAGAATTGTGTGCCAATATAAACAGCTAACAGAGTCTAGAATCAACAGTTTGATAGAAAATTGTGTTTTGAAAATAGCACTGAATAAATTAAACTTTGATCTTGAAAAAAAAAAAAAAACATAAAATTAAATAATTATACCAAATCTAAACATTTGTCAAAACCAAAAATAAATTTGCCAAGTTCTAATTCACACATAGAGAATTGTCAAAGTGAAAAGCCAGGAAGCTTCAGCGAGAAAAAGGGTTAACTCCTTTTCGCTTTTCTTTGCCGCAAACTTTCTACGTGGGAATTTTGGGCTATGCAATTTGAAACTTTCTCTGCATATTCTCCGCCATATTATTAGATTCGTCACTCGATTTATAACACATCGGAGTAAACCGTGAAGTATTCCCAATCAATTTAACCATGGAGGATTTATTTTATGCGGCGTACCTTAACGGCACATTTGAGGTTTTTATAGCTGTAGAATAAATTTTATACAACAGTTATTCACGATTTTTAATATTTTTTATGGCTTATAAACCTTATTTCCGAATTTATATATTTAAATACATCTGTAGTGCGAATCTCTAACTCAATTTTCGAGTTACCGACAAAAATCGGTAAAATCATAATGCTTCTAATTTCGGCAATTAGCGATATTGTTCATCAAGTCTTACTGATAGCAACAGTGTTGTCAACTTTTATTTAGACTTTTCCTTAATAATTTTGCGTTTTAATTTTACCGATATTTGTCGGTGACTCAAAAAAATGCGTTAGCTAATGTATCTATATTTCAAATCGATTTTATTCCTATTTTGCAGTAATTAGTTCCTAGTTCTAGGCTTTGTTACATATTTGATCCTACTGAGGATAGGTGTACAACAAATTTGGAATCATTCAAACTGTCCTAGTAGTTGCATAAAATAAATTTAACATTTTGTAGCATACATTTAGGCGTTAAAAACCAAATTGTTAATTAAAAAGGAACGCTTTAGAACATTGTTTAAATATTGTTGGGAATATTACAAAAATGCTAAATATAAATGCGAACAAATCACTTTATGTATAACTTTAAAATAATGGCTTATGTTGACGTTTCGTCTGCTTCTTGTGATCTGACAAGAACATAGAGGTGAACGAAAACATGATTAAATTAGAATTGCCCTAAAAGTTGAAGTTTGAATATCCTAAACCATTTGTAACGAATTTTTCAAAAAACTAAAATCCGTCAACAATTCTTTCAAAATCTTAATAATATCGAATATATCCGTTATATTGGGGTCTATACGAAGACGTGGACCTGCATAGACAACTTTTGTCATAAGCCATTGCAATATTGATTTACGAAACATAAAAACAAAAGAATCAAGTGAATAATGTAGCTTAAATCGTCAAAATACGGAATATAAGGGAGGTCCCGTTATATCGGGTCTACACGAAGTCCTGGACCTGCGTAGACAATTTTCTGTTACAGACTGTAGTACCTATTATAAACTTCAAATGAGAAATTTCAAACAATTTCGTGGAATATTGTACCTAAAATCGTCAAACTACCGAATATAGGTAGGTACTGATAGATGGCCTATACGAAGACCTGGACCTGCATAGACAATTTTCTGGCATAGACTTTAGTTCCTATTACGAACTCTAAATAAGAAATTTGAAACAACTGCGGCGAAAAACGTCCCTAAAATCGTCAAAATATCGAGTATCGGGGGGAACCGTTGTGTGTGGGCTATACGATATGGTTGACCTATGTAGACATTTCTCTTCCAGGGGGCAAAGTGCCTGGAAAGAACTTCTAGTATGGATTTTTAGAAAATGTCATTGAAAAATGTAGCTAAAATCACCATAATACCGAATATTGACAGGTACCATTATATCGGAGATATACGATATTGTGGACCTATATGGACAATACCCTTCCAGGAGGTAAATTACTCCGAAGGAACTCCTTTTGTGGATTTTCAGACAATTTCATTAAAAAATTTCATAAAATAACGAATATCGAGATGAACCTTTATATGTGGGCTATACAATATCGTGGACCGATATAGCCCACCTTCGAACTTGAAAAAAATTTTATTTAATATTGAAATATGTGTCGATCTAAATGAGATCTCGAAAAATTTTAAAATTACAATGTCCCTGTTAGGGTCAATCCTTTCTTTGCTTGAGACATTTTGGAATTATGCAACACAGAACTTATTAGAAATTAAATTGGAATACTATTCTGGAATACTAGATGTCCTTAATTTGTTCACTCCCAACGATAATATACTCGTATATTATATTTTCGCCATCCATTTTGTTACTTTTCCAATTCCACACACGCCGATATTAAAATATTACCACAAATACTATAACCGACCAAAATTGGTAGTTAAGATAAGAAAAGGTTTCCTGATCGATAAAATGATATCAATGAATGTAGAATATATTTATAATATTTTCTGATATTATAACTTTGGTTGTCGTTGCAAATGGGGTTTCCCAATTAAAACCGATATATAAATTTTTATTAGAAAAATAGTAAATCATCTCAAAACAATACATGTTCATTGTTAGCACAAAAATTAACAACTTTTCAAAAATTAAACTAAACTTTGAAAAAAATCCCCTTGTTTGGGTTTTTTTTCTATCCGTTGTAAAACAAATACATATGCACGTGGTGGATGGACACACACATTTAGTTTTTCCAATTGCCATTCCGTTCGGTTGTAAACACAGAAACTGCAATAAAACAGCTTATTTTTAATTCCCAACAATTACAACAAACATATGTCTATAAAAAATTCTAAAATTTTATATACTTTTCCTTGTAATTTCAGCGAACGGCGATATGAGGAATTGTGTCGTAACATCATCAATGACATGAATCAATATGGCCTTTCGGTTGTGGATGATTTCCTAGGGCGAGAAAAGGGCATGCAAATACTCAACGAGGTGCTTAATATGTACTCCGCCGGCGTTTTTAAGGTATGTATATACTATTTTGGAACCGCTTTATCATGGTTTATAATAATCTGATTTCCCTATTTTACAGGATGGTCAATTAGTCAATAATTTCAAATCCGACCAAGACCTTAAAACGATACGTGGTGATAAAATTACCTGGGTCAAAGGTGTTGAGCCCGGCTGCTCAAATGTAGGCTTTTTAATTAATCAAGTAAGTTGCGAATTAATTTATATTAGATTTCATGAAATGAAAGGTTTTTTAATTTTCAGATTGATGCGGTGATTTGTCGTGCAAATGCCATGAGAAATAATGGCAAATTGGGCGATTACGTTATAAAAGAAAGAACTAAGGTAAATTTAGTTTACGTTTAAGCTGTAGTAAAGACAAATGTAAAGACAAGTATAGAGATTGACAATCTGTTAACAAATTGTTCCTAACAGAATATATTGTCCTGATTGGAAAGCCATTATTTTTTCTAACCATTTACAATTTAAACTTTAAAAAGCCACAACAATATTCTGGTAGTTCAATAATTGTTATTTGTATAGGTATATGCTCAGGAAATTTGACAAGCCTTGAGGATTATATATATTATATATTTTTAATTAGGAAGTTGTCCATATCTTGTACAGGGTGAGGTAAAAAACTGCAACAAAGTCAAACGCCATAATTTTTACATTTTTTAATTTTATTGAATGAAAGCGGTATTTTGGTCCATTCCTGGCGAAGCGCTTGCTTGAGGTGATCCACACTTTGGTATTTTTTAGTGCCAACCTTGCTTTCCAAAATACTCCAGACACAATAGTCCAACGGATTGGTATCCGTAGATTTTGGGGGCCATTGTGCGCTGAAAATGAAGCGAGGAACCTCATTTTGTAACAATTCTTGGGTGGCGCGTATTCGGCATTTATTCTGCGACAATATTCGGCATTTATTCTGATGCCACGGTCAATAAGTACGAGCGGAGAGCGACCATCGGCTGTTATGGCGGCCCACATCATCACCATGGCCAGCGCTTGAGTTCTGGTGGCCAACCGAAGGTGCACATTTCCAGCTGACTTCTTTGGTTCAGCTCACGAGCCATTTTTCGGCCACTGCGACGCGGGTTTCGATCACGTCGCTTTTTTACTTTTCCAGCATTTCTGCTGATATTTTTTTTTTCTTCCGTCCACTTCTTTGATGTCGGGCTACACTACCAGTATCACGGTAACGAGCGATGGTACGAGACACAAAAGATTTATTCACATTTAAATGCTGGAGTGCTCTAACGACAGCCACTTGTGGTTTTCCAGCCAAATATAAAGAAATCACACTATCACGCTTGAATTCCATCACGAATAAGTTTTTTTTTTGAAAAATTCTCAACAAAATGCTTTTGTACGCTTGTAAACAATATAATGAGCTGTCACTGGAATAATTTTAACAGCTGTCGGAAGAGTGGCTTAGAAATGATAGCAGTCTGAAATTGGTTGCAGTTTTTTCATCTCATTCGGCATATTTTGGTCAGGAAAAATAATATTTGTATATATTTTAAATTAGGAAGTTGTCCGTATCACTTTGTAAATATAACATGGGTATTTGCTTGGCAATGTCTTTGGCGGGGAGTTAAACTTCGTTGTAAACTTGAATTACAATGCATATTTAAGAACATAATAGACTTTCGGCTTACAATGTTTTGTCTTAAAGCTTTACATTCACACACAAGAATAATCATTGATCTGATTTCTTGTCATTTCTTATATGCTGCCTACCATTTTTAGGAATGTATTTAGCTGTTCAATGTCAAATATTTTTTTTTTTTTGTATTTAAAAAATACATACTCGGATTCTCAATTAACCTGAACTAGTATTGATCAATTTGCTACATTTTTCTATCTACTCGGTTTTATTTTTCAAATCAATATGTCCATATTTTTTATTTATAAGACATATAGATTATTCCAATGTTATGAATCATTTTTATATGCACTATAAAACAATAATAATTTATTACAAAACAATTCATACATTTTTTCTGCTCATCAATGTGGCATTTATATTTATTGGGCACAGCTGATTTAGTGCTAGAATTAAATTAGAAACGCAAGAAATGACATTGAGAAGATAAAGCTTAATTAAAGTGTAATATAGTTGTACCACTTACTAAGAGTCACATACAAATTGCTTTCAAATTGAAAATGGATTACCTTAATCTTATCTTTAATTGGCTAGGGGAAGCCCAGCCCACATACAGTGTTCCCCCTATTTGAAAGTTTTGCTCGCCTTACGATTTCAGAGTACTATTCTTTGTAGATTATCCAGAAGCAGAAATGTAAATAATATCGTGTTATCTACCTTAAACAAAGAAAGTTCATACAAAAAAGATGGTATTTTCCATTGCGCGAAATGTTAACATCTGCTTTTATTTACAATGCCGAAGGCACGTGCATGCACAACTTCAGACGGCATCATCATCTGCTCAAATAGGAAACAAAAATAGCTTGATATATTTACAATGGCAATCTTATCAGTATTTCTCTCCATTTTTTAGGAGATCAAAGAACGGTTGTTAATCAGATGGAAAATCTTATTTTTATCAAACAAATTTTGACAATTTAAAAAACTACATATCTCTCACATTTTGCCATATTTAATTTTAATAATTTAAATTTATTTTCTTCTTCTTCTTCTTTTCTAGGCCATGGTTGCATGTTATCCCGGCTCTGGTTCCCACTATGTCATGCATGTCGATAATCCAAACAAAGATGGCCGGGTTATAACTGCCATCTATTATTTAAATCTCAACTGGGATTCCAGGGATAGTGGCGGCGTTTTAAGGTAAATATATTCATATTTAATCGACAGTATAAATATATTAATAATGCATTTTTTGTCTTGATTTTTAGAATATTCCCAGAGCAAGCCAAATCAGTGGCGGATATTGAACCAAAATTCGATCGCTTGATATTCTTTTGGTCGGATAAACGTAATCCACATGAGGTACAGCCTGCCCATAGGACACGTTATGCCATTACCGTCTGGTATTTTGATGCCAATGAACGTGAAGCTGCCTTAAATCGTTGTAAAAATACACAAAATAATAAAAACACAAATAGCAACAATTCTACGTCAAACCCCTCCAACACCACATCATCATCATCGTCCTCGTCGTCTTCAGTAGCATCTAATAACACAAACACTTCATCTTCCGCCGCCTCGTCCTCCTCCGCCTCCTCCAGTTCAGCATCTGCACCTTCACAAATAACAAATAGCAATGAAAGCCATAATTCGGCCAATGAATATAACAATACTACGCCTCATTCGCCCACTTTAACTACATCTTCTTCAGCACCTAACTGTGGCTCCGCTTTGTCGGGAAATTCAGCCATAAACAGTGTTAGACCTGTCCAAGTCGTTTTGCCCAACTGTTACAAATAACAACCGACGTTTATTGTCTCGGTCGAGAAGTATGAATATCATCAGCATGGAGTGTAGAGTGTACATTTTATTTGAAACCATACGCTTACATTGTATATCCAAAACAAAATGAAAAAGAAAGGGACCTAACGCAGTTCGGAGCGGAATGAGGGACAAAACGGTGCATTAAAGTACGCAAGTGCAAAATGAGTCATGGTGCCGTAGCCATAGCAGCAGTCCCTCCGGCTTCAACATTAGTCAGATATTTCTATATATCATTTATGTGGACTATATTCAGAAAATACCCATTTAACAAATTGGCTAAAAATAGGCCTTTAATTGAACTAAAAAAATGTGACAAATGAAATAATCTTCTATATTAGTAGATTACCTGGGTTCTATAAAAAACTTTCTGATTGATGACCATAGCTAGAATAACAAAGTATTCAAGTTTCAAAAACACAACACAATTGTGAATTGCCTAGATATAGTTTTCATTTGTATTGTAATTTTCAAAAATACATATTCTCAACAATGCCCTCTTGAAATCTTGAACACATGAACACAAATCATAGGACAACAAAGAATTTAATAATTATAAATATTTTTGTTATTTTTGTAAATATCATAATATGGAAACCTAAGAATATCTTAACAAAAGAAGAAATAGAACACTACTATCTAATGTATACTATTTTCAATTGTGTATTTATTATATATACCATGTTAGGTATTTAGCAAAATATTCCCTTTTTATTCTTTATATTTTGCTCATTGAAATAAAGAAAAGAAACAATTTACACCAAAATAATCAACATTTGTTCGTTCTACTCATTTTAGTTCTCTTTTCTATAAAAAAAATAAGTACATAATTATTATACACAATAACAAGAAAAATAAATTATTTCTAACATGTAAATAATATGTATGCAAAGTACATTTATTGAATGCAAAATAATAAAATGAAATGAAATTAATTCAGTGAAATATTTGTAAAGCATTTTTTTTGTTTCGGCACACTGGCGTATTTTGTTGATGCGACGAAGAGGTCTCTGACCTGTTGTAAGGCTATATAAAATATTGATAAATACATGTTCCACGCAAAAAATGAATATCAATTAATTTTAAATGACCAGTGTGAACACTTGTCTTGCAGAAATTCTTGAACAGAAAAATGCGTTTCTGAACATACTTTTTTGTTTGGCTATGTAAGGGATTAAAAATTACTCCAATAGGTATTCAATACATTATCCTAGAGACAGAATTATACAATTTGGGAAAATGGACAATTTAAAAAAGGCGTTAAGTTCGGCCGGCCCTTTTCTTTTTTACGATGTAATGAAAACCTTTAGAAATCAAAGTTTAGGAATGCTTATTCGAGCTAGCTCAATTTTAAATTGCAAATGTAAGTAAAATAGTTTGGAGAAACGCAGTTAGTCTTCAAAATCGCTAATGAAGGCGTATGACGAGTTTAGAGCGGTTGAAGTCGAATGGAACTAAGATATGGTAGCGCCGACATAGCTAGAAATGACTTTAGAAACCATTTCGGCAATACAACACTACTAAAAACGCAACAACCGTAGTCTGTGCCATGCCCGTATAGTTTACTTACATTTTGAAAATGGATTGAATAGACACACAAAATATTAAACGCAAGTCTTTGGAAAAAATATTAAAAATATCGAAAATACGGATGCATAGAAGAAAGAAAATAATGTCTTTAATCTACATCTATAAAATAGGAAAATGTTTGTACGTTTGATTGTTTGTAATTTATGGACTCGAAAACCGCTGAACAGATTTTCTTGAAAATTTCCAAGTATACTACATCGCCTAAAAGTAACACAGGCCATATTAACCAACACAAATATGTACATACTCGGTTGGCAGCCGCTGCACTATGGGTCTTTTTACGTTTATTTTGGCATAAACTCTAATTTCAAAGCTATTGAATTGAAATTTGGTTTGTATGCATTTTTTATGCTTCCAAGATGACCTACCAATTTTCATATGATTTGGGGCACTATTTCATATAGCTGCTATATAGCCGATTTGGCCGATTTGACCCAACTTTTTTGTTTATGAAGCTATTAAAGTGAAATTTGGTTTGTATTCATTTTTTATGCCCCCAAGTTGACCTACGAATTTTCATATGATTTGGGGAACTATTTCATATAGCTGCTATATAGCCGATTTGACCCAACTTTTTTGTTTATGAAGCTATTGAAGTGAAATTTGGTTTGTATTCATTTTTTAAGCCCCCCCAAGATGACTTACGAATTTTCATATGATTTGGGGCACTATTTCATGTAGCTGCTATATAGCCGATCTGGCCGATCGGCTATGATGATTTGGAGAAACATACTGCTCATTCATTACAATAATTATACTTTTGCTAAGCCATTTTGAATGTTTAGTTTTAAATCGCTCTAGTTTACGGATGCACTTTGGCAAATGCTTTTTTATATAATTAACAAAATCTTTCACTTGTTTTGATATCAAACGCATTTGGTCTTCATTTAAACTGATGTTATTGATATTCTGTAACACATATTTCACAAGTGCATCTTCTGAGCGATTGTTGCTTCTCCAAATTTCAATAAGCGCTGCATGGACAAACACATGTTTATCTGCAAAACACGTGTTGGCACAAAATAGAACAAAAAAGGCTAGTTACTCATTAATTAACACACTTTTGTTAATAACTTGGCATTTATACCTTTTTGCAATGCTTTGCCATTCACAAGTTACACTCCACGGAACACAACTACAATTTATAGATTTTATATAAAGCTATACATAAACGAAACAATTCACAGTATTACAACAACAGAAAATTATGACAAAAAGGGCACCTCGTCTTAATTTTACATACCTGCACTAACGTTTTCCATAATTACACATTTTATTTTTTTCAATTTTATCAAATCAGAAGCACTTGAACTTAACTGATCTTTACCGCCAGTTGTACCAAAACAAAGTGACTTTCAAACAGCTGACTTTAAAAGCTCGCCAGCAAAAAAGGGTTGCCACCCGTATTGATATTAAACATTTTTTTTCTAATATGGGTATCTACATTTAGGAAATCAGTTAAATTTCAAAATATGAAACCAAAAAAAAATGACTTTATGCCAAAAAATCATGCTTTTTACCCATAGTGCGCTGGTCGAAACTGGAATGTTGCTGTTTCGGGTCAATCCGGTATCGTAGAACCTGTTGCGGAGATGAGAACACAGCTGAATGTGCAGGTCGATTCTAGGGGTCACATTCGACAACATGTTCAAGTCGTCCGCGCAAGCCACTGCTATCTGCGACAAGATGAAAAGTAGGAACAAGGTCCTCAAGGCGCTAGCCGAAAGCACTTGGGGTGTGGACAAGGAAATCTTGTTGACCTCTTATAACGCGATAGGTAGGTCTGTGGTCTGCAAATAATAGTGCTACGCACCTCCATCTACATGAGGAGGCGAAAGTCCTCCCCTTACGTTAGCATAATCATATACTTTTATTGCAGTACCTGCTGGTTACCGTGAGAGTCATCCCAACCATCATATGGTGGATAAATCTCTCAAAGTCAAGCGTGTCAGGAAGGACACACACGATCTAGAGAAGGAGATCCAACGCTTTAAGAGAGAACCTCTAGATCAAGAAGCCTATCAGGCAGGTCTGAGTGGCATTCATAGCGATACAGTATCGGATGATATTAGCAGTTATAAAATGAATGCCGTCCTCAGAGTCCACCGCCCCATCCATTGCAGCTGAAAAACGCCAGCTGCCTAGACAAACCAGGGTAGTTTACAATTACGTTCAGGATGGTGTAGTCGTCTCAATTCGTATTGGGCACGAATTGATAAAGAAGTGCGCGACGCCTGCGCACTGTGATACAGACCCGCACAATACGCTGCACCTCTTTAATTGCACAGCCAAACCTACCTCACTCCAGAAGATCCCAGGCTACAGCCCATTAACGTAGTCGAATTTCTAAACCTTGAACCAGATTAGCAAAACGCAAACACTTGCATGTACTACTGCTACAAAAACAACAACCAAAGTGTCGATCAAGCAAGCGCTTCCCCGGAATGGGCCAAAATATAGCAGAGCAACATTCGAGCAGCGTGTGACGGTTTCATTGGTCGTTTGAAGGCGATAATTCGTGCACTAATGTGACCAATTCGAACAAATCTAAACTTATTCTAAAATTTGATGCTATTTCCACCTTTTTTGCTTTCATTTAATAGAATTAAAAAAAAAATAAAACTTATGGCGTTTGACTTTATTGCAGTTTTTTTATTTCATCCTGTACTTTCATCATCGCCTTAAAGCAGCATAGGCTATATACATTTTTGAAATTCCACTTGTAACTGGAGATACAACAATAACAGTTGAAATAAAGCCACCTTCTAATTACAAAATTTTTCATTTTAATTATTTTTCTTTTTATACCCTCCACCATACATAGTATGGAGGGTATATTAAGTTCGTCATTCCGTTTAAAACTCACCGAAATAATAGGTGTGTCTGGTTACCCTAAAGTTTGTAACAATTGTTACAAATTGTTACTGGAAGTCGTCTGTTAACCCAAAAGTTCTGCAAAAGAGAGCGGTTGGAGAGAGAAATTTTGACAGTTCTTTCAGTGAGAGTTTGCAAATTCTTGCTGGACAAATTTTTTCTTGCAATCTCTTGCAACTCTTCTTCTTCTCATTCATCGACATTCAATCAGATGTTTTCTATTGTTTGTTTATTTCTTTTTGTGCTTTCAATTTGAAAATATTTTTTTGGAATTAGCAAGGCTAATAGTTTTTGGAGAACAACTTTACAAAATGTGAAAAACGTAAATGTTAATATGCAAAAAGAAAATAAACGACTATTTCCAACATTTTTATTTAAAAAACTTGTAAAATTAGTATTGCTTCCTTTGTTTTAATTCTCCTTATGGGGGACAAATTGGTTTGTTTTGACAAATCAGCTGATTAGTTGCAAGCTTCTGCTGGAATATCGTCTGTTTACTTTTCACATTTTCCTTCCAAAAGAGAATAAAACTACCTTACTCTCTCAGAAAGAAGTTACTGGACAATTCCTGCTGGAAAAGTAACCAGACACACCTAATCATTTTAGACCCAACAAAGTATATAAATTCTTGATCAGCGTAAAATTCTAAGACGATTGTCCGTCTGTTTCAGTTACGCTACAGTCAAAACGATTTAAGATAGGAAGCTAAATTTTGCATAGATCTGTGTACAGGCAGGTCAAGTTCGAAGATGTGCTATATTGGTCCACGATATTGAATGGCCACCATATAACAGTAACCCTCGATACTCAGTATTTTGATGATTTTTAGCCACACGTCTTAGTTTAGTCCCCCCTACAACGATACTTATTGTATTCATTGGAATTGTTTCGAATTTCATATTTAAGCCTATGATAAAAATATATTTACTTTATTGCATCACGTCTTCTTATAGCCCCCATATAGAGGTTTTTATTTAAGCGGTATTTTTAGATGAATTTTTTTTTTTTTGAAAATTTTTAAGTTCCTTACGAATGGCGGAGGGTATAAAAAGTTCGGCCCGGCGTGCTTTTTACTTGTTTCATTTCTTCAGTTTTTTGATGTGAAAAACCCATGACTTTCCATTCTATTTGCATTTTTTTTTATTGCATGAGATTACCTTTGTAATTGTGTCATGCTTATGTTGCAGGATCTGACTAAATATGAACCATTTATTACAAAAAGAATGAGAGAATAGTGTAGTTACATTCCTGTGCTGGAACTTTTCAAAGTTACCTACCCTTTACCTTCCTATGAACAATAAAAATAGACACTTTTTTTTAAATATATATTTTTCAATTTATTGATTTTTTTGTTTTTCTTGTTTTTTTTTTAATTTTTACATTTATTTCCATATCTGGTATTTCATTTTTGTTGTTGTTGTTCTTTTTTTAATACACAAAGCCTGTATAAGACATATAAACAATTAATTTTTTATGCACTACC